AAGTTACTCCTTAGATTCCCATATTCTCCTGTTTGTGTAGATGTAATTTGACTAATTTTGCATCGTTATTACCAGAATACTAGCCATATCTTCAAATGTAATGAAATTGCTGAAAATAATACAACATTTTAGTTGACGTCATTGCTTGTTTTATGCATTTTGCGACGTCGGAAAAAGACGACATTGGTATGCTGATTAGTATATATCTCACCTAATTTCCATTAATTGTATAAAAGATCTCGGCTTCTACGTCAGAATTTAACACTCTTTAGACAAAACATAAAATGACTGATTTTTCCATTTAAATAGTGTCCTGAATATATCAACATTTAGACGGTTTGACAGCGTTTCTTATTGTGAACAACACGCGCACCTGTTTGGCACCAATTTAACGTAAATAAAAATAATATTTCAGAACACCCGACTATTTTGTTTGGGATAAGAATTTTGTTTGTTTATGATTATGTAGCTATGTAAGATAGTTTTTTATATATGGAACTATATATTAGAATATGGATGTAAGATTTGTCCGAATTAACACATGAGATGGTATATATATTTTTCAACAATTTTCCTATAAATGTAGTTAGAGTTTGATATCCTGTCATCACAATATTATTTAATCGAATATGAATTGATTATATTATTGAAAACAATGATAGAGAATCATAAAACGTTTCCAACAAACGCGCACCTGGCTGATCAATATGCATCATTCTTTTGTCTATAAAAGGACACAACATTATGCAATGAACAAGACAATTCCTTTAAATATGTGTGCATATACATTTCATACCATATATAAATCATTTTCATTAATATTATCAGTTTTACATATAAGGTTGAATTAAATCACCGTTCATTATCCTGTTCATATGAAATTGCAATATTAGTCCAAATAAATTGAATATTGTACATCATAGGAACTAAAGTAGTTGCAGTTATGGCTACGTTTGATCTTCTGACACTTGTGTAAAGGTTTAGAATATGGTGTATTGCACTAAATATGTCAATTTCTTATGTAAATATGATTCAAACAATCAAAAACTTTCAAAGAATAAAACACCGTAAACCCTATATGCACGTATGATATGATATTGAACAAGGCTAAATGTAGATACTGAAGTCAGTTTCATGACAAAGTATCTGAACTATACGCAAAATATACACCATACTACTGACAGTGTAATCGGAAGGATTGGGCGATTGTGTTTACTCTTGTTCAACCGACCTTCACTTCAAAGAAATTGCCTAATATGTAGAACAATGTTGACGTATGACATCACTGCCGCTGACCGACTTCTTACAAAATGGCAGCTTTGCTGACAAGGTTACACAGGATTTTGCGAGGACCCTTCCATTGATTCAGGGATCGTTTGTACATAAATATGAGATGTAAGTAATCAGAATGATTCTGACTATCTGTGTATTGTTATATGTTTTTATCGTTTTCACTATAAGTAAGAGAAAAAGCCAGAAATGCACATAATTACCGTTGTCGTTATCATGGCGTCACGCTGCACGGAAACTTTGACAATTTCTTATGAATTATCAAATCATTGCATTGTATCTATTTATAATTTCCTATTGCTTGCTACGATACTCTTTCAATACATATTCCAAAGGTATTGAGCCATTGCAAGCAATGAATAGACGGATGAATGTTGAACAATTTCAGAAAATGCTACGCAGTGTAAAATCGGAATTTGTGTTTGTTTACATTTCTGACAAGCACAGTCTTTCCAGCACAGCGTTCGTTTTCACACCCAATATGTTTCGTCTCATTTTATCTAGACAGTTGGTATTGGTGACACAGACCAGTTGCAATTTGATTCTAAAATGTATGGGGAATTCAGTGATGCATTTTTCGAAGCTGAATATGAAATATACGTGATGTAATAGGCGTCTCAATACCGGCCTTCGCGAAACGTGATTTTGTAAACACTATCCAATATGGCGGAAAGCGCTCTACGGCGTTCGTGTAAGTGCATTTTCGAAAACATCCCAACCGATTCTAGATTCATCGGCAACGTTTCAGAATTATAATTAGCAATTTCATGTAAAACTGATATCGGTGATCATGAATATGTTACTTTTGAAATTCAATACTCCCAGTAATTATCCGATTTTCACATTTCAAAACTTACAGCAAATAACGCTGTGAATCGCGATTTCGTACTGTGTCAAAAATGGCGACATTTTCGATGAAGCCTATTTTGAAAGGTCATTTTCAGCACTTGAGCTTTGTCTGAAAATAATAGTGGATGGTATTCGCTCGGTCAGATACCATAGGAAGGACACTCGTTTCGTATAATTCGTATGTAATGAGACCGAGTGTAGTATTCTCTACATCCACAATCACCATATCCCGCCATTACCCTTTCAGTATCATAATGTAATCATTCGGATTTTTTTTCATGAAACTAATTTAATTATCTACATTTAGTCTTGTTCAATATCATATCATACGAGGGTAAAGGGTGTAGGTGTTTGATTCTTTGAAAGTGTTTGTTTGAATAATATTTACAGAAGAAATTCACACATTTAGTGTAGTAAAACATATATAAACCTTTACACAAGTGTAAAAGATGAAACGTAGGCATCATGTTCTTGTACAACATGTATTTTAGTTCCTATGAAGTGCATAGTTACAGTTTCGTATGTAACTCTTCGTCAGAATAATTTCCAGTATCGAAGTCCAGTCCACGATACACCCTATCCTTTCTTTGCTGAACTGGCCTCACGAAAGCAGTGTTAGCCATGACGGGTATAACGAACTGACGGATATAACGAACTGACGGATATAAAGAACTGTTGGGTATAACGAACTATTTTATTTATCCTGATCACTTGCTGTACATTAAAGTCAAAATGCTTACAACGAACTACTGTTATAACGAACTAAAAAATAGTGGCCCCTTTGAGTTCGGTATAACCGTAGTTTACTGTACAGCTGATATGCATCATAATCACTGTTACTTAATACACATGAAAACAATGAACCTGGACACATCGATTATAATAGATTGTTTGACAACTACACGATCGCGCGTTTGGAAGATCAAGAAACAGTATTCAGTAAATAATTGTATTCTTTTATGTACATACACTAGCCAAACAATCAAAACTTACGAATCTGTTTTGTAATGAGAAAATAAAAGGTGTTCGCTGTCTATATGTACCCAATATTGTGTCTGTTTTCGGCTTTCCAAAGAAGGGTTATATGTTCTTCTGACACAGTAACAGTTATCGCTATAACCGAGATAACGCCTATAGCAATTTCTACATACTCCATGAACAACTTTGAAAGCCTAAGCCCAATGAACATAATTTACTACTCGTTACAGTGAGTGAGTGAGTGAGAGGGAGGGTGCCACTTTTAGCAATATGCCAGTAATATCACGTTGGGGGGACACCTGGGACACCTGGAACTGGTTTCACACATTGTACCCATGTGGGGAATCGAACCCGGGTCTTCGGCGGGACGAGAGAAGCTTTAACCACTAGGCTACCTCACCGCCCCACTACGCGTTACAAACGTTATTACTTTATTGCGTTATTGGGGGAAGGGGGGCTGGTGATAAGAGGAACTTGATGACCCCAAGCAACCTATGCTGATTGTAAGAGACATCGTATTGAATCAGATTGTCAGTACTGGCGAGTCATCACACCCGACAGCGGGCATTCTTGCTTGCAAAGTCAAACATCGGTCATTTAGTTGGGGTTTTATATGGTTGGAACACTGATAAATGGAATAACGTGGTTCATCATCCATCAATTACAGAAGAGAGGTACTGTCGATGCTATATCATATACATGACCTCTCAAAAGTGACGTTGATGGTTAACTAAATTATTGAGACCACTCTTTTTCATTATAAATGCACGTGTATAGAAGTAATTTAAGTCATCTCCCATTAGCGGGTACTCGCAAACAACAGACTCAGGATTAAATAATAACGACCTTTGGTTACACAAACCAAATATTTTCCCATTGACTTCTATAGTGACGTTATATTTAGAGAAGATAACAGTGTCATCAACAGCTATAACATGATAGACAAACTTGATGGATAACAGCTTCTTTATTTCATGAGTGCATGAGACGTTTCGATACATATTGGTTACATATAGGAATATTGGTTCCATAAGAGATCTTCTCTCTACTGATATGGCACATATGCTAGCAAGAACACTTGTATTGACAAGACTTGATTATGCAAATAGCTTGTTGGGAAATCTAACCCAGGAACAGTTTGCGAAACTCCAACGGGTCCAAAACACTGCAGCACGGATCGTGACCCGAACGAGGAAGTGTGCACATATAACATGTATGTATTAATACATTAGTCTCTCATAACCCTTAAAGGGTGGCTCACTTATATGCTATATTTTATAAATATATTTATATATGTATTTTATGTGAGCAGAGACTGAAATAAAATATCTGTCTGTCTGTCTATAACACCAGTGCTAACTTCCCTACACTGGCTCCAAATCCAAGCTCGAGTCCAATACAAGATTCTCACATTGACATATAAATGTGTTAATCAAACAGCTCCTGCCTATCTGACAGAATTGATTGAGAAATATGAACCTTCTCGGACACTAAGATCTGCTGATCAGTTACTTCTTAAAGTACCCAAATCCCGCCTCAAAAAGTATGGACAGAGATCATTTCCTTACATGGCCTCTGTGGAACGATCTTCCCTTGGGAATAAAGAAATCCCCATCATTGACAATCTTTAAAAGCTGCATAAAGACTCATCTCTTCCAAAAGTTCTATAAAGATTGATATACCAGTGAAAATATAGCACCTCTACTGCAGTGTTTTTTTTAATTTTGTGTAGCGCCATGAGCAGACACCAAGTGCCTTGAGTTTTGGCGCATAACAAATCTACTGTATTATTATTATATTCTTGCATCATTGTCAAGCAAGTACAAGAATCTGTATCGAACGTCGTACTCACGAAATAAAGAAGTTGTTATCCATAAATTTTGTCTATCTTATACATCCCAGCTTCTAAATGCCATTAAAAGAAGCTATAACATAGTTTACTACATGTACATGTGTGCACAGTCTAGCCTTAAAGCAACAAAAAGAAAATGACTACCTCAGTCAGCTCCATTTCCGAGTACAAGAAGCTAAACAGACCACCCCTGTTCCGCACAAAATGTCATCCGCTTGTAAATACACGTGGTCACATTCAGTATAAGTCTTAATGTTACAAAAGGCACTAAAATGGTCCTTTTTATATTACTGGAAGGATGTACACTGACAAAAACACAAAAAATGTTACACAAAATCATCCGATCACGGCTGTCAGATGATTTAGTCTGAACTGAGATGCTAGTTAAACTACCGATGGTGAGATTGTGTAGGACAACCCTACTCTCTCGCCTTTCGCTTGTGTTATCCGAATGTATATATTCATGAATGCGGCGTTTCAACAAGGGGGACCTAAATGTCGTTTCCGAGGAATCAGTTCCTGCGAAATTCGTTCACTTAACACAGTAACACGGAAGCACACAGGAAGAACCATTAGAAAAGCCTTGTAGCGTCACTTCAAGGATCATATTGGGATTTTTTACAGGGAATCGGTGTTGCGTCAACTGATATGAACCTTCTGGTTGACGTTTCGGGAAGGAGGAAAAACATAATTCCATAGGACAATTTCTGACAATTCCGCTTACAAAAGTGCAGCCTGGGTAATCCTTGTTAGTTGCTTTGCCACAAATATATAGCACATGTTACATTAGACTACTTTCTAAATGACTGTATCCATTGTCACAGTAAAAGGTTGTTGCCTGTCCCGAACCGATGTTCGTGGGTTCAAACAAAAATTCGAGAGAGAGAGATGTTAGTCTAGGCCTTGCACGATATCTACATGCCACGGGAGCTTATTTCGGACACTGGTCAACAGTGTTTGCCCTAGGCATAACAACATTAGGCGCGACATGGTGATTGTTTTGGGGCGTCAGATAAGCAGGGTTTCTGCAGCAAGGCATAAAAATTTAGGAGTCATCATGACTCCTTGTGTCATGAGAGGGAGTCATGGACATGTTTTGGGGAGTCAGATACGCAGGCTTTCTGAGTCATGGCAAACACTGGGTCAAGATATATATAGTCATGTCCCTCTCCCGTTTATTATTATGAGGTTTAAACTGTTCTACTGAGAGAGAGATGGGGGGAGAGCAATTTTGTCTATAAAATTATTAAATACGTGGGTCGATCAAAAAGTACGTAGACTAACTGTATTCTCGATGTCCAATGTTTGAAAAACTTCCATTTTATTTTGAAAGAATCTTTAGCAAAGACATATCCAAAATTTCACATATGTGGTTAATCTGGTTAACGAAATATTAGTCATCACAACACATTGGGGTAGAATATTTCTAACCAAACTGCAGAAATAGAAAAACGATCTGTCATTTGGTACCTCTTGGATAATGGTATGCCCTCAGAGTATATCATCTAAAACATGTTCATTATAGTATCGGATGACTTCCCGTCATAATCAAAAGTGAAAGATTTGGATTGCTTAATTTATATTTAGTCGAGGGCTGTTTTTTTAAGGATACCCCCATTTGAATCTTCCTAAAACATTGTGTCCAGATATTCAAGCTGGTACTGTTTACAATATATTGTGAGCTGACACTTGTGTGACCATTTAGTGTTTAGTTTGAACCGTTGGCATCATATATGAATAAGTGAAAACATAAGAATAAGTTATGTCCTTATGATTACGGCATCTGTAAAGGTATGGGTAGTGTCTCCAAAACAAGCTCTTTCAGTCAACATGAAAGGGGGGTGTCACTTTAACTAACAAGCGATTGTAATTCTCATTGCTTTTATATGAACTTTAATTTCTAAATGTGATTCTAGGGGACTTCTATCAATCCCAAACACACAACATATTTCTTGCATATTTTGTTTCCTCAAGTTTTTGATGCATTTATTGTAGATTTTGCGTTTTTTTAGGGTACCAAGATAAAAGGACAAACAAAATGGGGATCGTGAGACTGGAACATAGCAATACCAAATTGCTTGAGCTTGACAGATACCATATAGAATAATAAAACATAAAAATAACTGCATTTGTTTCGTTTTCTTGGTGATTCTACATACTTTTTGATCGCCCCTCGTAAGTGTATGCTTTAGCCTTAATGATTATGGGAATGGAGGGGTGGGGTGTGTTATTGATTTCGTACATGACATGAAGGGGGGGGGGGGGGGTCATTCACATTGTACATGCTTCTCCATAATAATCATCATCGCCCCCCCATCCCCCACATACATGTATTATGAACTGTGCCTCAGGGCAGAATTTCGGAACCTCGCTTTTGAGTGAGTGAGTGAGTGAGTGAATATTTCTTAACGCCGCATCAGCAATGTTGCAGCTATTCGCGGCGATCCTCGCTTTGGAATAGAATACACCTCTGCATTAGACACAAAGGGCGTTTAGTTGAAACAGACTGGTCACAACTGACAGTTAAATTTCACTCATTTCCAATAGAAGGATTTGTGACGTCACTTGCTAAACAAGCTAACATAAGAAATAACGCTTACCAAATGCATTCGTGTCCGTGTAAGTGGGCGCATCAATAATAATACTCAAGCTACATTCGCACGTGTGTTAGCATTTCGATTTAAAGCAAGCGGGAAACACAATTTTCAGGAAATTTTCTTTGTGTCTCCAATTTCCCTTTTATTGGCCACCGCGTGTCGCTGTCGGCTTGTAGACGCGGGAAGTTTTTCCACACCTGTCAATGTAGTTGGCCATGCCGGTCCCGTGCCTGTAACCTTATGACAGGTTGAAAGCGTGAGATGGAGGGACATCCGACTAGGAAACAAAGGCATTCACTTATAGATAATATGTTTTGCTCGTTTCACAGGTTTAAACCGACGCGGTGATGATGTCACGTGATATTTGATTGACAGGGCTGGAAGTTCATTGTTGAAAATGAATTGGTAGAGGCGTGGATAATTTCATTCATCAGTACAATGGAGTAATGGAGACATAACACTCTGGGCCATCCCACAGGTTCCGAAGCTCAATGTCATTTAAATATCAATATTTTATTACATGTACAACCCGAGGGTAACAAATACTTTGCATAACAACGTTTACGTAATTACGGCTTGATCGTACAGTTTAAAATAACCTTCAAAGGTAAGTAGACGTTAAAACAGGTTTCAGTTTGTGATTGAATGTACCATACGGGAAGGCATTTCATGATTGTCAATTTCAAAATATTGTAATATTTGGATGTAAACATGTATTTCTAATGATTTGTAAACACAAATTTAGAAACAAGTTTGGAAATTACATAAACCCTAAACTAAATCTGTGTACCGTTTCCTCTAATTGATTGTTAAGCACTCTAGGGAGGTGGGCTGGTGTACTGTCTATGGTGGTTCATATGGTAAACTGACCTGGATGGCACGTCACCAAATTTCACCCGAGGGACAGAGTAACAACTAATTTGTTTACTGCACACCTAATTATATATGTTTTGGCCCGAATTGTTTAGAATACCACAGTTGGGCAAAACAGCTGACCACAAAGAGCACATTCAAAGTTATCCTTGGATGTATTTCATTCGGAAAGGTGTCCTCCCATTACGCAGACAGCCAGTTCGCAGACACCTTAAAACAACAACATTTATGGTTCAGTGAACAGATTATCTACCACCTGTTACCTACATATTATAATGGAATAGTCCAAATAAGAACACAGGCACAAACTGAAGCTATATTATTTATTTTGAAAGATGGACGAAAAGACAGTGATTTGAATTTGCAATATAAAAACAGTTTATTTTCATATACATTTCGGTTTAACCTTCTAGTCTAACGGGAGTCGGCATCATCATATTAAAAACATTAGCCTAGCTATTAGAAATTGCGACACTGTTGTACCATATAAATCAAATAAAGACAAATGTGAACCTAAATATTATTCATATGGAATAAAGAAGTTACACGTATATGTTTTGCACACAATATTAAGATATATGACGAGGGCACTTAATTACGATTTATTTAGAATAAATATTTAAAATATGACACATCATGTGAATGTGGCCATGGATGTGAGAATGTTTTTCATTACTTCCTTGAATGTCCATTGTATACTACTCAAAGACATAAACTGTTACAATCTTTAGAAAGTATTGTTAAAATTAGAACACTGATTGGTATTAGTCGTATCTTACATGGCAATGCAGGTGTCTCATTTACTGCAAATCAGAATGTTTTCAAATATGTACATATCTATATCTCTCCAACAAAACGTTTTCTCAGTTAACGTCTGTTGTACATATGCTATTATTGGGAGGGGTCTTTTCTATCAATAAACACAATCAAACCTCTCAGTGACAAACCTGTTTTTATATTCGACAGTAATTGATAGTAAAATCAATTTTGAGAAGAGAAATCATTCATCATTTAATCACAACAAGTTCTATTTACCCACAATCAAACTTCTCAGTAACGAACCTGTTTCAGGCTCACCCTGCTCTACTCACTACACAGTGGACTGTTCCATTATACCCGTAGGTGTTACCCTAATTAACCTTTTAGCTCAGTGTCTGTCAAATGGGTGTCTATCAAATGGGTGTCTGTCAATTGGGAGATAACCTTCGGAAATATTCGTTAATATCCGGAGAATGGCGTCTAATGTAATTAATTCGAGATATACAGTAGTGGTCAGTATATTGCGAAATGTAATGTTAACACGTCGGCAATTCGACCGGGGAACATCTCAAATGGACAATTAATCGAAAATTAATAGAATGAGTTTCTGCTAGTCAGAATCCGACATTCATGTGTCGGTGAACGCGTTGCTTGAAAACCCCTTAAAGTGAATACAAATTTGAGATTCAAACTCACAATCACCGGATCCTGCACAAGGCGCTCTAGACTACTGGACCACCAACACCACCGCTGGGACAATGAAGTAGGTTTAGACGCGTGAGCTGGCATCCTATATACAGAACTATTTGGGTTGGAATTTGTTGACATTATGTCATTTAAATGTGGCCCGTCTACCTGGTAGGGACGTGACGCTCGTTTTCTGGTGGCCATGAGTAGAGCGTTTGTCCGGAGTGCATTCATGAGCGGAGGATCGATCCCTCCGTCATCTTGTGACCGGTTTGACATTATGGGGAGCGTCAGAGTGGGGTATTCGCGTGAAACTGCAACATGGTATCTCAGTGGGTTATCCCATCCTAAATATGGCAAAGCATGGCCTAGCACTAAGTACTATACATCTGCGATCTTGTTAAAGATCATATTCCATCTCGATCTTTATGTTACGGTTCTCAGAATCTCCTGTGTGTGCCAAAAACACGCACCTGTTCTTATGGTGACAGAAGCTTTTCCAAGGCTGGTTCCGTACTGTGGAATTCAATCCCAGACAACCTCCGGGATATTCAAACACTCACCGACCTTAAGCCTGGTTTGAAAACTCACTTCTTCGAAATGGCATGCAGAAAACTTTGTGTCAGAACACCTCTAAGCGCCTTTGAGCAGACTTTCACGGACATGACTTTGTTTGATTGATTGAAATATGTGTACTGGTGTTTAGTGACCCTGCCCTAGAGAGGTCATACCTTTGGGTAACACTCCTTTGGCTTCCTTTAAACAGCTACCCAATGATAAGTAACCGATCCCTTATATATTTATTTCATTGCTAAATGTTTTATTTGGATTTGTTTTTCAGTATTGTCTTCGTTCAAACACGAAGTGATTACCTGATGGAGAGGCACTTAGAAAGTTGGAGCATAAAGAGAGGATAACGATATATGGATGGACAACTTCTTTATTACAGTGAGACCAACGTTTCAGTTTAGGTTCTAAAACTTGCATGATAAGGGTGTTAGAACCTACACAGAAATGTCGCTCTCACTGCAATAAAGAAGCTATTCATCCATATATTGTCATCCTTCCATTAAATGATTAATGAGGAGCAGCTTTAAGAAACCGTATGTATCAAACATGAGCTAAAACCATCTAATTTAATGTACGCCGAAACAGTTAAGTGACAGCGAAACCGTAGCCAAACGTGTGCAATCAAAGCAACAGGAGTTACGTCCCTTGAGTATGAACTTAACCTGTCCTACTCTACTGAGCCACAAGCGAGAAGCACCTCTAAAGGTGTGTTATATAGGTGACGTAATCTCGCTGTCGTGTTTAGTTATATAACTGCGTGTGTATGACGTCAAAAAGTATATTCTCACATCTTCAAGGACATCCTCAAGAGGTAACCGAATCCGGCCGAAATTCGCACATCTCACATCAAGTTGAAGGAATATATTTTAAAGTTCATCTATAAAGATTCATCAGGAACAGACTGACAATATATTTTGATGAATAAATGCAAAGATAAAACTATAGCATCCATTTTATAAGAAAAGGACTATTTTGTTTACCAATCGTATACTGAGCCACAGAGACCCGTATGTTGTTAAACACGAGGAAAGTGGAAACATAATGAAAACATCTACGTAGAATATGAGTACCACCTTGAACACCCCCAACGATATTTCATGAATATATACAGTGTATTGCTGCACTTAAGTCACCAATAACAAATACTAATGCGACTTGGTGTAGCGAAGCCAAAAAGTCAGCGTGAGGCATCTCGCGAACCCACGAGACACATGCTCCGCACAAAGCTGTGAGAGTTACCTCCCATTTATACACCCAGAACGTGCGTAGCTGGAATATTGCTGAATGTGCCGTTAAACAACAAACTATAGGAGATGATACGGACATGATTTGTCATTTAAACAGGCACATTGTTCACGGAAACCGCCATTCGAGACGCATTGTTTCATTTCGTTCTGGTGATGACTGACCACGTGGGTCCTTCTTTGAGGTGGCGAAGCGCCGTATGACATTGCATTATGGCTAATCTTTACAAACTATAAATTGATATATCTTTAGGCATTTGCAATAACATCCTGTTCGTGGGGGAAAATGAAGAACCCCTCGGGGGTAGTCACGAGTAGGAGGGTCGCCGACGTGAGCGGCAAAGCTGCGTGGAGCCGTCTCGAATGCAGATCTTGATTGTAGTAGAATTCTTAGAAGTATCAAACGCGGATCAAGAGTGGGGTCAAGGGGTGCACACCCCCTTAACGTCCTGAAAGTGACCACTGAAACTCTCGTTTGAGGAAACTTCCGACTGAATTGTGAACTCAATGAAATTGAACTGTGTAATTTGAAGAGTCACGATTCCTAAAATATATCAGGTATTTGTTCCATTTATGCCGTCTCAAGCCTTTTGAAAGAGGGTGTGGTATGATAGTAAGTGTAATCAAATAGGAATTACCTTAAGGCATGCTGGGAGAGTACCCGTGAAGATCCCGTTATCCCAATTGAGTAGATCGATGCTCATGCTGTTGATCACTGGATTGTCTGGTCAAGACTCGATTATTTACAGACTGCCGCCGTATAGCTGGAATATTGCTGAGTGTGGCGTTAAACAACCAACAAATTACAGGAGATGATACGGACATGATTTGTCATTTAAACTTAAACAGGCACATGGATCACGGAAACCGCCATTCGAAACGTATGGTTTCATTTCTACACTGTTTGACTATGTATTTGTTAACTGCATACATCATTAACCCCTCATAAGTCTATGTTTGGACGCACCGCCTTACCGTAACAGTTTCACACAGTCGCCGTCAGCACTGATCTCTTACAATGCAAGTTCTCGTCCAATCTTTTCAAGCAATGGCATATTTACACACATATATACATCTTCGCTTACGGTACATTTAAAGGAAAGGGCCCATGCGAGGCCTAAATGGTGACTAAACACAAGGTACTAGGATTATCATACCAAAGCATGTCATTTGTCAATGAACATCAGCAAAAAAAAAACACAGAAAACATACCGATCGCAGACGCATGATCGCAGTATCGTAGATTAAGTCTAAACAAAACCGAAACCATATCGTTACCCTTGTGGATCATACCGCCCGAGCTTAATTCCGGGTTTGCCCCGTACATCAGTTCACAAAACATATGCCAGTTTCTTATGCATCCACCGAATATATCAATATGCATACCTCACTAAGAAACACAGTTAAGAGTGTCCTAAGTTTAAAACTGACGTAATTATACTAGTATGATATCCTTAATGCTCCATAAACCGTTATTTCCCAGACAATATGACCAGAGAAAGAAACCTGACCAGTCGCTGAATTGGAATTATCGTCAGGGGTATAATCTGACATAAACCTGTTGCCAAACTATAATAGCTTGCTTTCAAATGTGCGGAGAGGAAGGTATTGTGTCTTTCGGTATTACCATTTCTAACCTATAGGAACGGCCCAGAGAAGCACCACGTCACACAAATACCGCAATGTAGCCGTATTTGCCATGATAAATGCCGACGGGGATTATATTTATTAACATGGTAATCTTTGAAAAGATCATTCCTTTCGCAATATTTGTGATGAGTCAAGGAAGGTCATGCACCTCATGCTGTAAACGTTGTATTGTGGGAAGGTACACACACTTTGTTAATTGTGTTCAGAACTGTCACTAGATACGCAATATCAGGAGACCTTTCAAAAATACCAAAACAACTAATTGTGCCAAATGTGTCAAGGAATATAGGTTTGGTTGATTGCTGATGGTATTCACAGATTTTTGTTCCTAATTGGACTCAGTCTACTATTCTACCACGGAATGCACTTATCTGTCGGAGAGACATTTTGGCTTGAAGTTTAACATTGAATTACATGTTTATGGGGTATTTGTCTTTTCAGGAGGTATTTAATTGCCATGTGTTCATTCAATCGCTTGTCTCGTGTTTAGTCTGGTATTGAGAATGACCACCCAAACCCATTTAGTTACCTCTAACGATACGGGTTGCTGAACACCGCTCTTAGCCTTTGACGTAAGATGCGACTAACTGGACCAGGTGGCTAGGGTCAAGGACTGGTTCATTCAAGTCATCGTGTACCAACTGCATACCTAGATGGTGCTCGTGATGTCAGTCACTTGAGTGTCTGGTCGATTACCTACAAACCGCTCTTACAGAGTTTGAATACTGCTGAGCGCGGCGAAAACAAAATATCCGGTATTTGACTATTCAATTTAACGAAAGCAGCTTGTAAATAAGTAAGCTGTGCCTATCCTCTGAACAATATTCCAGTTGTCTGCGAATGGCATTTAGAAGTGACACACATAAAAAGGAACTTTATCAGCTGACGAAGGAGTAAGAATCCATTCATAAACGGTCTGTTGCTCATATTACAGACGTCGGCGTTTATTAATTTCCACTTTACGTATTCCAGTTGTATTGCGGCCTGAACGTCTACTGCTGCTTGATAAGCTTCAGATAACGAGACCGCACATACCAGTGATCTACATGGAGTTGTGGTCGGTCAGTCAAAGTGACGACATCACAAATGTGTAATTCCTAGGTGACAGAAATATGGTCCACAGACATGAATCGACCTTCCTTGAAAGTGTCAAAGAAAAGGAATGCCTCTCTACGCACGTGTAGAGTTACTGCGCGCTCTACGTACAAACTATACGATGTGTTCACGTCATAAGATTTACAGACATGAATGTTCTTGAATGCTCTTTTGTTGAAAACACGTATTTTTATCCTAGTACTTGGTATTAGCATTCATGTAACACATGTTATATTTGGGATTACGCTTTTGCAGTTAAGTACAGATTCTAGTACTTTTGCTGGATTGAGCCCCATCCGGGATTCGAACTCACACCCTCTGACTCAGGCACCTAATCGCCAGCACACAAAGTCAGCCGTCTAACCCGTGTTACGTTTGACCGCTGTCGAAAACGGCATAGTGTATTCATTAACATTCATATATTGTTTTTAGAAAGAGGATATCGGTTGACGATGTAGGGGAGAAGTCTGCCTGAAATGTTGCCCCAACTAAAACCAACATTAAGACAGAGATGTAAATTGTAACACGTAGCCAAAGCGAATCCCCCAATGGCTATTGTCTGTGAAAGATTTATGAACTATAGATCTCAGTCATCTCCCTTTTTGAGTGGATCGTCCGAAGTGTACAGGTTATAACCAAGCTAATAATTTCACGTTGTCAAAACGTTATACTTTCGTTGTTACAACGTTATTCTGTGGACTCGCATTAACGTTGTCACAACGTTGTGACGTGACGTTGTGATGAGTCATTTTTACGTCCCCACAAGGTTAAAGTTATTTCATGCTAACATGTTTTAAGTTGTCTTACGTTCTATTTAAAGTTAATAGTTGAATAGTTTTCCCAGTAGTGAACAGTACATAAAACCAGTCGTTTCAAGGAGAAAAGACACGTGTTACAGATCCGTTTCGGGGGAGTTGTATATTTATTTACCGGTATACACACGTCCGCTTGACATGATCCACCTCTGTGAAGTATAATACCCGCATTGAAGATCCGGGCATGTCGACACGTGTATCCGGGTATGACTTGCACAGAGGTTAACTAGTCCACATGTTGCACTTAAAATAACTTTTGTGTATCTAAAAACATTTAAAAATAATTTGAGGATATATCTGACGACTATGCAGATATACCCATTGTAAAAACTTAGATTACTCACCGCCAAGAGAAACGCAAAAATCATCAATATTTCCTGTGACGTAAATCTACAGTGTTGAATAGTTTTCTGATACATAAATGATACCCTGAAAACTGTTTTTCACAGCAAAAGAAATAATGATTACCACCAACGCAGCACACGTGACGTCACACATCACTAAAATGTGAACTCAATGGTTTTCATTTAGCCTATGCAGAGATAGGTCGTGAAGTTGGAACAGCATTCTTTACATGATGTTCTTGCTCTTACACTGCTAAACTTCTGCATTCGCATTTTTATGCAACAGTGAGCAAACCACCTTTAAGCGCTAACGAACGGCAGAGAGCAATAGGGATTATTGAGGCAGGTTGGAACATCCAACGCGTCGCCAGGCATAATGGAATACATCAGTCTACCAACTGGGCAGCAGTCCACCGCAAATAGCGCAATCGACAGTGGCAGAACATCGTCTTCTCAGATGGAAGTCGCTTTTGAATCGATACCGCAGATGACAGAGTGAGGATATGGCATCGTCAAGGTGAAAGATTCTCAGAACCCTGTGTTTTGGAGAGAGAAGTCGTCGGGGAGGGCCTTCCCTCATTTTTGAGGTGCCATAACTGGGAACGTCGACGTCATGTTCAACATGTAATCTTTCAGAACAATGAGCAAGGTCGCAATTGGGGTGTTACTGCGCAGCGCTACATCGACGAAGTGTTGAAACAGGTAATTCGTCCATTTTTGGCTCAAAGAGGTCATCTTGTTTTTCAGCAAGATAACGCGAGAGCACACACAGCAGACATTTCTCCAGAACAATAACATCCAGACCATGGATTGACCAGCTTTAAGCCCAGATTTGAATCCCATCGAACACCTCTGGGATGAGATGGAAAGACGAATTCACCAACAGCGAGTACGTCCAGTTAACTTGCAACAACTGCAACAGAGTGTTGTTGACATTCCCAGGAGGTCAATTCGACGTCTCTCCAACAGCATGGGGAGGAGATGTGCAGCTGTTGCTGATGTCAGTGGAGGTCACACCCGTTATTGACGTTTACGTTTGTTTCCCAATAAAGAACAATTCCTAAAGTGATGCGTTATGTGGATTCCATATTATTTTATTGGATTTTCACGTCATGTGGACAATAAACACACTAAGAGCTTTCTTTCGAGTTATCGCTGTCTTTTGTGAAAGTAAAGTTAGTAAAAATACGCCATGTTCTCACTCACTGTCATTGTTTCTTTTGGCGGTGAGTATATATTGTCAGTTATCAGGTTCGACTGATTTAGTTTACACAATGTTAAATCTAGTGGTTAAATCGTTGGCTGGTCACTCCAAAAATACCGGGTTCAATTCTACAAATGGCGACCATCAGTAAAGACAAGTATTCGTCTACCCTGTAAGGCGCTCGGGGATACAATCAAAACTGGTCGGAGTACGGTCGGAGTGGGGTGTTCATGTGCAGCAGTATCTCAGTTGGATTGCACTACAGGATTATAAAACCGGTATTTGGCCAGAACACACTCACGCACACATCGGTGGGAAGCCGACCTCACTAGATTATCGTGAGTCAGAGAAACCCAAACAGACAAAGTCTATAATATTTACTACTTAAGTTAGCGAAAGAAACGAGCACGGGTATTGAGCTGCTAATATCCCATCTCATTATAGCTACATGCAAAAAGGCAACTGTGTTGCATGCGTATGAGTGTATCACCCTTATATAATACGTCTTATGAATTTTAATATTCTAGCCCCACACAGACAGCTTGGATTAGCCCGGGTAATACTGTCCATAATGTTGTAGTGTGCGATTAGAGCATGCGAAGTTTAGCATTGTATGAGTGGCCTTGATATATTATCATTACAAAGATAGAGGACACTGTAGCTCACCTGGATTATTGGAAACATTAGATGATAAAGATCACACTGTGAGAGACAATAGAAGATGCCGCTGTTCACCATCACGACACCTGGGTTTCAGACAGATGTGAGAAAAGCACACATTTACAAAGGACGGATGGACGGATGGGCAGACGGATAAAGCGTCATAATCACCCTTAAAGTTCAGGTGAGCTAATTTTGATTTAAAGATATATGTCCACTGAGACCATGCACAGCCTTGGGACATTCATCAAACGTGCATTTACCATTAACATTGCAGTACTGCCATTAAACCCGTCCATCGCACCAGTAACACATAGCAATGCAAGACGAAAGTAACGTATGCACGGTTTGTTATGCATTAAGGGTCAATTCTCCACGTATGCAATCCGCGAGGTCCATTGCTGGTGCACTTAGTGAACAAAACCGCCTCTGTGGGGACTGCCCCCTGTTGGCCTAGTTGACTGTTATTTCCACTGATCGAGATAGGGAAAGACTTTGTGTTCCGGGACATCACAGACTGAAAAACCTGGAATCACATTAACGCATCAGGGTACTTACTTCAATCTCGCTGACGCCACACGTCCACACCACCGCTTCATACGCAGAAACGAAAACGAAAGTTGGTATCATCTAGATTTCTCGGAAACGTTTCAAAAGACATTATTTTGTAATAGTGGTCCATTCAGACGGGGTTAACTGTGGCGGGGCTTCTGTGTCGACATTAACAATAATTCAATTTAGCATTGCGACAAAAATGGTTCTTGACAACAAACATAAAGACATATAACCAGATCCTCTCTGACAAATTCAAATTGATAATAGTACGTTTAGTATGAGGCTCAACATAATAAATTGTTACCATGTCTGAATGTGTAAATAAAAATAAACATGAACATGCATGACGGTAGAAGTGCGGCAGAGCTGAGAGATTGTATGAAAGCATGAGCTGGTGTTAAATACTACTTTTCGTTTCGTTGAATTCCATTAACATACTCAACACATTCCCAGCAGCGAGGTGAAGTGTATTCAAGATTACTGAACTTGCATAGCGACGTGCTTGCAAGGGTTCGCTTTAGACCGACTCATGTCTGTTGTACAATTTTAATCCGCTGAGATACCAGGCCACCGTTAAATAATGATAACGCACTCAGTGAGTGAGTATGGTTTTACGTGTATATTCCAGCAATATCACGGCGCAGGACACCAGAAATAGGCTCCGCATATTGTACAAATGTGGGGACTGGAACCCGGGCCTTTAACCACTGAACGCTTTAACAACTGGACTGCCCCTACCGCCTCTCATAGGGGGATGGAACACAAACCGTCCAGAAATCTGGACAAATCTACGCAGAAACTGAGAAACGCTATCCACTGAAGTGAACGGAGCACTGTTATTCTGGATACAACACGTGGTCATGATGACATGGGGCGTTCAAAATGATTTAATAAATATATTCATATAAAGAAAGCACTATTCATATGCAACATCCACGTATAGGAGAACAGTGGTAATTACATTTGAATATAGCATATGTAGTATATGCCATAGATGCCATATGCAGTTCCCAAGGTGTGATTATCGTATTGCTACGAGAGTATGCTTTGAATGAATTTAGTTCTCGAAATTTTACGTTTAGAATATTGCGCATTACAGTCTATGTTGATCGCTCAAATGAGACACGTCACATATCCATGAATCAACACACAAGCATGCTATTTTTAGCCACACGTCAATCACAGATCGATTCACTGAGCTCAGTAGGCTCTCTGACAAGGCTCTCTGACATTCATTCAAGCATTCAACGTACCTTGACAGGGGAGATAACTCTCGATTGTGATTGGGCAATGAGAGCAATATCAAATCACGTTTACATTCGTCTGATTTTACGAAAGCTTCACCTGTAATTGATTATGAGTGTCTCTGTTATGGTTCGATGTCCAAGCTACCAACGCTGTGATGACCTTGGGTTCAGTTTCTCTTGCCTCCCCACACGAGACAAATCGTCCATCATAAATGTAATATTCTTACAATGGACCTAGGAGATTTAACACTCAAGAAAAGCCATTCATGTTTTGTCGATATTCTGTCCTCAAAGTTTGATACCCGTGAAGGTCCGGGTTACAATATTGATCTTCAGTAAAACATGCTTGTCGTAAGAGACGACTCACGGGATCGGGTGGTCAGGCTCGCTGACTTGGTTGACACATGTCATCGGTTCCCACTTGCGCAGATCGATGTTCATGCTGTTGATCAATGGGTTGTCTGGTCCAGACTCGATTAGTCACAGACCGTCGCCATATAGCTGGAATATTGCTGAGTGAGGCGTAAAACTGAACTCACTCACTCACTCAAAGTTTGAGTGAGTGACTATAGTTTTACGCCGCTTTTAGCAATATTACGTTGGAGACATGTTGAGTGAGTGAGTGAGTTTAAGTTTACGCTGCTTTTAGTATTGTTTATTCCAGTAATACCACGGCGGGGGACACCGGTTGTACACGTGTTGCACCCATGTGAGGACTCGAACCCGGATCTTCGGCGTGACGAGCGGACGCTTTAACCACCGGGATACCCCAACGCCTGTCTCAAAGTTTGAAGGTGAGACATGTTCATGGTAAATACTCTGCCGAACTTAAAGTGACCCAACTCTAGGGCAAGCCTTCTTTGTGTTGTTTCATGATTGCCGGCTGGAAATATACGGATGATGCTCACATGTCGCAGCAACATCCCATCATTACTGTCAAGGTCAAGTCAGACCATCCCTGGTGTGTTATCGCCAACACTGCTAATGGGGCGTCACAGGTGAGGTCATGGAGGAACAGATGGCTCTATTCTGGCCCATCCTCTCGACGGAAGAACCTTTCCCTTTCCTGAATGCCTGACTAAGCAAGATCAAAGCGAAACAGACACTGGATATCTGATAAACATTGAGAGAAAATTGTAATTATTTTGCGGTTTGTATTTGTCTAGTTTTGTTGTCATTTGATATCATTACTCGACCGAAATTTCAGCTTAGTTACTTTATCACATGTATATCTGTAGAAATTGTACATTCCTCTCATATCGAATTACCAAAAACAGTCTGTTCACAAATTCTATATGAAACAGCTGCTAGTCAAGAAAGTGAATAAATATTTATTATTTATTCATTCTTGAGGAAATGTGAGAACACGCAGCTGGCATAGATTTTCGTCATGACACAATCATCTCAGGAGAGAGTAATACGAATGACTATAAGATTTATTCGGCAACATGAATGTATATTTGCTCATGTACAAGAAGACAGTAGCAGAGAGGCAAATCTGGCTCAGTCGAGCCTCCACAATAAAAAACCCCGTTTATATCCATACATCCATCCGAGTGAGTGAGTTTAGTTTTACGCCGCTTTTAGCAATATTCCAGCAACATCACGACGGGGACACCAGAAATGTGCTTCACACATTGTACCCATGTTGTGTTTCGAACCCTACCGCCTTCCATTCCGACGAAGATGTATGGATGAGTGAATGAAATATAAAACTATAAAACATTCAAATAAAAGCAATGGATACAATCGGATTTGTCAGCCAGGTAAAGACGGGGATAAATTCACGTGTTTCACGTACTGTGCACAAGATAGAGAATGGGCTAGTGGCAATACCAAAAGACCAAACTCTGATCCCCAATACCAGTAGAACTAGGAAACATAATACACTGAAATTTAAACATATGCAGTGTAACACAGATACATTGAGACAATATTTTTTGAGTTGAATTGAGTCCGACTGGTATATCCTACATATACAGATACCTACAGACACGTAATATAACTGACCGCCTCCGTGGTGTAGTGGTTAGAGCGTCCGCCCGGGGAGCGGAAGGTCGCGGGTTCGATCCCCGACCGCGTCATACCAAAAGACGTTAAAATATGGTACTTGTTGGTCCCTGCCTGGCGCTCGGCCTTAATGGGTACAACAAGGACTGGTCGGCTCGGAGTCAGTATAATGTGTCTGAGGTTAGTACAAGCAGCCGCACATACACATACACACGCATGCACGTCGTCATATGAGCGAAATATTCTCAAGCACGACGTTAAACCCAATTTCACCTCACCCGTAATATAACTGGAGTATTGCTGACACTATCGTTAAACATCAAACATGAAAAAAACAACAAACATCACATTTATACCCATGTATGAGTAAATGCATGCTGTTCTACGCCGCAGTAGCAATATCACGACTGGTTGAATATGACTAAGACTGTGTGAGACAAACAAATGACCGACAGCATGAACACCAATGAGGGTACACCAAGAGAGCACCATGACACAATCAGCAGGCTCACCGACGCTTACACTCTTACGACAAGCACAGGTTCCTGGTCTGGAATTCACATGTGGAGTTGCAATGAAATGTCAAATTGAACCCACGTGTACGGCGTCACCCTCAAATAATTAGCCCAAAGCATCCGCAAGTCAGTAAAGTTAATATTTATGAGGAACTCCAGTACGTTCATATAATGATGCACATGGCTTCCGCAGAAAATTGCTCTTTTTTGTAATCGTGAAAAAAATCATTTGTCTGACCTAGGAATATTGTATGCGTTCAAAGCTTAAACAGTATATTTACATTTTGGGCGTATAGTTAGTATGCCGCATTTAACAATGTTCACGCATTATCCCGGCTGATGACACAAGGAATGGACTTTACACGGTATTCAAAACGAGCGAAGTCTACAAACAAACTATATTGCCGCCTGTCACGGATTTAAGCGTACAATGTGTGAAGTCTATCCTTTCGTCCCCACAGTGACACTAATGAATGAATGTTAAAAGAGGTATGAGATAAATCTCACTCACTCAGAGCCAAACTGATTTCTTCTGAACAGGTATTTGACGATGTGGATTGTTCAAAATTGGCTCTTATGATTCGGTGTCCATGAGAATGAACTTTCAATACACATAATAAGTACAGCAAGAAAATTCCAACCAGCAACCTCCTAATTTCTTGACATGCATTTGGGGAGTGAGGACAGACTCTCTCGACTTGGTCATCTTACATTACATCTCACATGACAAGGTCAACAGTTGTGTGAAGGTCACTATCACCCTGGATACACAGCCTAGGCCTTGCAACATTGACCTTTATTATAGATGAGTGAATGTGATGATCACTTTCTTTATCGCTATAATCACTGCCATTGTATTTGTCGTGCTATTGTAATTGTACTGATTTGTAGACTAAGTTCATTTTAGAATACAATTAACCAATTATATCACATTTCTTTGTTGTTTGTTGGTTCCTTATCAAATCACGGACAGATTTCAGTTTAACTCATTGTTTCAACGTTACACGACACGTTTGAATGAGCGGAGAGTTAAGTCAAGTATATAGGGTGTAACAAAGGTTATTAAAAATAGCATAATGAAACACATGTTATATGATCTCGTGTAATCTAAATTGTATATGTCAACTGTATCATAGGCCTTATGGCCCAAATACTACTTAATAAACGTCTCTCTTATATGATCTCAGGTTACAGAAGGATACATAGAGGATACTAAAAGCAAAGCAGGAAATGTTTGGAAAATGCTTTTTGGCTTCGATATCAATATTATGAATTTGACACAAGATAAAAGCACAGATATATGATACCTGTACGACTCTTACTAGTTGGATATTAAAGCTCAGATGAAAAAATGCACTTAAGGGGTGACTTCACAGGAGGAAATTTTGACGTTTTAACATATTCGTAAATATTCTAAGTACAAACTGTAGTTTTGAAATACAGACTATAATTATTCATAAAACCTCAACTAATTAAATTACATAAATGATTGGAAAAAGTTTTGGTTTTTTAAAACATCTATATGTGAAAAAGATGGAACTTTTGTAGTAGTTATATTGAAAATATTTACGTAAAAAAGTCTTAATTCAAATCGCATAGATAATCTTGTTCACTCATAGAAGTTTCACTTTGTGTATGAGCACTGAACTGGCAACATGCGACTTGATATCTCTGCAGGACAATTAATTTCAAATTTATACCAGTATTTTATACTGGAGAAACAAAGGGGGAAACCTCTCGTCAGCTATGACAGGGTTTACAGTTGAATGTGTAAAGCCCTTAATTTGACATATAGTCAGGTGTAAAAAGTTGTAAACAAACCAGTTACCTATGATTAAGCTATGATTACGTATTACTTATACTAGAATCTGTACTTTACTAAGAAAGTGTAATCCCAAATATAACATTTGTTACATTTGACCACTTTCTAAAATGGCATTGTGTAATCATAGCTTTCGGCCGTGAAAGCTGTGCCAATTTACACTTCTCAGAGGGGTACACAAAGTCCGCAGTCAGGACTACAAGTTGTCCCACTTCCATTTTTTGTGGAAGCCTCGGTGGCTGAGCGGGTTAGGCGGCTGACTCTGTGTTGGTTCGAATCCCGGATGGGACTCAATCCCCAAAAGTACTTTACCAAGAAAGCGTAATCCTAAATATAACATATGTAACAATAATTCTACTATTATCTTTATCGTAAATATGATTATATTAATTGTGGGTTTTTTTCAGTGAACTTTGAACTGCTTCTTTCATGTGCCATTGAGTCAAGTCACGACAATGCGCACCATCTTGTATATTCAATATATGATATATATTCTTCACCCGCCACCCCATCTAGTGCATCAAGATCCCCACAACTGCCTATATGTATATAGATATATATTACGTGTCACATGTGCACAATACAATAACAAATGTATCATATTCAAGGCCAGTACATATTGGAAGGTATTGCATTATATATGACGGGTAGCCAAGCGAGTAAAGTGTTCGGTCATCAATCTATAGACAGGTTCGTGTTCTCATAATGATACAGCGTGTGAAGCTCATTTTATTTACATACCTTGATATTACTGAAATCTAACCCGAGTATACGCTTTAACCAGCCGGACGAACCACCATATCGTGGACGTGCCAACAATTTTATTCAAACTCATTTCCAATTATAATAAAATTATAAAAGCTAGCAAAAAGTCAAATTACTGACAAAATGATGTTTTCGGTGGCTCCTCATTAGATGACGTCAGTCAGCCATTAGCAATGTGTGTAACAATATTGGCTATCTCTGTCCATTAACGATATTTTATCGATTTCTGGAAATTAATCGGTGACTTATGTAGAAATAATTTGTGTTTATTTTCAACCTGTATAATTCACATATGACGGCTGCTGATTTTACAATGTGTTTCTATGGTGACAGCTGATGTGTTTTGTGCTCAGCAATATTCCAGAAACATGACGGCGGCCTGCGACAATCTGAACCAGGGACAGCTAGTGATTGATATCATGAGCAACTATGTTCGATGTCAGGATACGCGTACTTAAACGTAATTTCACCTCACGTCCTCGTCACAAAGAACTAAACATTTTAGGCGATAGAAAGGAACAGAGAACGTTGAATCTCAAGCTAAACAGAAACACAAAGATACAAAGACGTGCAGTGTTTCATTAACGAATTACAATATTAATTCTGATAGTTATGTTTGTAATGAACACGGTTATATACCGAACTGACGGATATAACGAACTGTTGGTTCTGCCACTTGTACATTTTAGTCGAAATAAGTAAAAGGAACTACGGTTATAACGAATTAAAATTAGTGGATTACTTTGAGTTCGTAATATGGATGCAACGCACGACATACCAGTAATAACGGACAATATTTCTAATATGTGTTTTATATATCTAGTAATAAGGGTTTTGGTTTGACGTCATGTTTTTTAATTTGTGCTTATTCATATATCTAGTGAGTGAGGGAGTGAGTTTAGATTTACACCGCTTTTAGCAATATTCCATCAGTATCACGGCGGGGGACACCAGAAATGGGCTTCACACATTGTACCCATGTGGGGTATTCATGTATCTAATCACTCAAGCTGTAGTGAATGTGGGATTTAACGGCGATTTAAGCACAATTTCTGTTAAATCACGACTTGTGAGCTTGATATGGGAGAAAATCCCCTTCAGGTCGAAGCCGCTTACTACAATAGGGAAATCCTGAAAAATGATTACGTTGGCATACACATACGGGAATAAACGGAATTCGAACCCACAGGTTTCGGGTTCGACAAAGATACGGAACTCTGCAAAGTTTAAAGTTTCGTCATGGACGGATATAAACAGATTTCGAAACCACGACCACAGGTTTCTGGCACGGAAAGGGACGCAACTCTGCATAGTGTAATGTTTCGTCACAGATGGCTGGGGCACCATGCTCCTCTATGATTGCTAGGTCGGACAAAGCAGTATCTGACAGGGCCATATGCTAAAATCAGTATTCGATACCGCCTTGTGTAAACCGTAGTGTTATTTGATATCTGTACGAGCAAGCTGGTGATATGTCATGTCATGTTTATGGCTAATCGCTAGCTGCAAAAGTCGGCCAGGTTGACATAAGTACACTTCTACATAGCAAGATAACCATACGCTGCCCCGACCAGATATAGAACTATTTCTCCCTTAATGACCTCCAACAACGACGCAAATATTTTGAAAAAAGGGTTTGATTGTGACTTACAAGTACAACATTGTGTACATGTTGCCGAGACACCACAGATATCGTACCCAGCGCCTTGTGTCAAAATATCTACTTCGTTTTTTTGGAAATAATCCCAACTGTGTACTTTCTTTTGTACATCAGTTTATGTTGGTATGTATTTTGGTTGGTATCTGGTGTCTTGGCAAATGATCCACACACAAATAGTAGGAAATGATTTACCTCAAAATCTTGTAACAGCAGATATCAGCTAAAAGTCGGAAATTCGGCACAGAATCTGTTAACATCAAAAGACAAAAAAGTCATTAAAAAGCGAGTCAGTGGATTTGGTTTAAACAGTATTTCCGTTATAATCAGTAGTCATCTGGATGGGAAAGTCAATAGACCGGACGTTGTGCTGATGACAAAAGCAGGAACATGATCAGGCTGCACAATCATAGGTTCCTGGCACACTAAAGGGACGTAACCCAACAATAACCGACAGCAAATATGTAACATGCAGGTACGACAGTTGATCTTTGCATAGTATGGGTCTCTTGGTAAAAATGATTTCGCTAAATCTGTGGAGCAAAGTGTACCAACCTATATCCCTTGATGTCTCAAATAATTCCATATAAATTAGAAAGGAGCCCCAGTGAGATGGGAGAATCGGAACTTGAGGGAATCTAGACTTGTTTCATATAGGGTTTTGCAAAAGAGGAAATAATGTGATTCAGCTACTGGGAGACAGGCTAGGTGGTGAATCCACTTTGTATGCGACTGCTGACTTTATTCTTTTCGTCTGGGGTAATTTTGTTTCGTGTACATCAAATCGATGAATGGTAGATTTAAACAGAGTTTCTCTTCCTAACTGTGGAGGACGTTAGAGGGAGGAAGCATCCTTGTTTCAGCTTCATTGGCACAATGGTTTCCATGAAATTGACAACGGACAAGAAGGTTCCTACAAATATTCCACTGTTAGTGCAATAACCACAGAGAAACCCACCACATTGTTCGACACCACACATGCAAACACCCCTTATCGAGAAAACAAAATACATAAGCATTGTGAAATTCAAGTGATTGAGTATAAGTAAGCTACATGTGACAGTTTAACGATTTAAATGCGACATTTCAAACATTACAGTAATTTATATTTCCGGAATAGAAACAACCTACCTGCAAGCCCGAGAAATACACGTTATGAGATGGGCATACACAGATGGTGCTTGCAATTTATTATAAATTAGATGGAACATAAATTTTGGCTATGTAATTTATGTCACAGCTGTTTCTAGACTGATATAAGCGATGTGGTATCAGGTACACAGATCTGCAACTGGAGATGTCGAATTTCGATATGGTTACGTGAGAGTACATCTTGCGTGAGAAGTTAGCCAATGTTAGACCAACTGTACTACTGCTACAGGTGCTCTCCTTCTGTACTCGTACAGTTGTCATTTAGTTTTGGCCCCTTTGATAAGTGCCTCCCACCCACGTCTGTGAGCACGCTCATGTCATGAGCAAATATACATCTGATCCTACGATCTACGAAATTGGGATACAATGACATGTGTCAACCAAGTCAGCGAGTCTGACCACCTGATCCCGTTAGTCGCCTCCCACGACATGCATGGGTTTCTGAAGACCAATTCTAACCCGAATCTTAACGGGTCTTATGCACAGGTTACATTTTCATTTTCTATATTTTGTTATGCCTTTGGTATATTTGATAAGAATACTAGCATATTCACACCAGGTTAAAAAACGCCAAATATAGTTTTTAGAAAATAGATGTTTAAGAAGGAATTAAGAAGAGATTTTAAATACTGATGAAAGACTTAATATGCCGTTTGATAGTCTGTAGTACAGACCCTGAAGCAAATATATCCAAGAAAGCCCACGCAAGTCTAGAAAATGTGGCAAGTCTAGATTTCCTCAGCTTCAGCTGAAAATGAAGAAAGTCTCAGGGCTCCTTTTCATTATATATATTTTTTTTTTACTATGAACTTTTTTCAGTAAAATATGTTCATTTCAGAGAGTAGTTGTTAGTCTAGCCGTTTGAATAGTAAACAGATTTATGGTAAACTTTGAAATCTAGTTACAAATTGCACCGATTGTTGACATGGTATGATATATATCAACGATCATGATGAACGTGTTTCTTCCTCCATGGTAGGAACCGGGTTCTTCAGAGAATGTAATTGGTTCTGCGAAAATCAGTTTCTATTGGTAACTCTCATCGAAAGTGGTCCGCCCTCTTATGACGATAAAACCAATATCGGCCCTGTTTTCGGTCTGTGCCAGAATGTGACGTCCAACTATAATGACCTTGACTCTAACGTCACAGAGTATCTTGATCCCAGCTAAGTGACCATGTCTATTACTTCTGATGAAACAACAAGTAGCGTTCATTTTCTATGCACATTGTATATTCTTGACGTCACGTCTAAACATATCTTGATTCCAGCACAGAGATCGTGAATATCAATTGTGATGGAACGTGTGTCAACACATACAATGTGAGTTACTCGTCATTTCCGTTAACGTGGCCGAGTCGTCTAAGACGCCATATTACATTGTAAAGAGTTATATATCTCCCTCAGCCATGTGAGAAAGCTATGATCATAGGTTCAAAATCCGTTTGGTGGTAACTTATTTAGAAGTAACACAGACAAAAGGCATAGGTTACACATACCGCAGTGTAGAGAGGGATATATGATGAAGGCTGTCTCCATTACATAGCGCAATGCATATAAACTGACAAATGTTTATAAAATGGTTGCTATTGATGAAAACATAAGCATATTGAAATTGTTGGCTATTCATAAATTCAGAAGAGAATCACAAACCTTGCAGTAACTGATATTCGTTCCAAATGTGTAAGATGTGATACTGATCCTATATATATTATAATTTCTATTGGTAGTTTATGAAAACCAGATCTGAAGTCAGCATGACAAAGTATATGGTTCACAACGCAGATCCGTGGTTCAACATCGAAGATAGGTTTAAACAACGATTATCCAAATGTTTTGTGTGTCTTTACATAATGCATAATGTCAATCTTGTAAAGAAACTATAATTCATCCTGACTATATAGTTCAAAGAAATATTTTATTTCGAACCATCTGCTCTTGCAAAACAAATCTGGATCCGTAGATATGTTGTGTACACTTAACACTAGGTCCCATTTTTCACAACAATATTACTTTCAATTGTCAGGCATGTAAAATATTCTTGACTCAACGATCTTTTGACATTATTGAATATTTCACACCAATACTAATTGACCTTTTGAAGGTATAATATACAATGGATATCGTGGATATCACGGAGGAATGAAGACCTAAACATTGCTGGATGTTGGTGTACATTCCCTTCGTAGCATTTAGTCCCAATATTTCGAACTTTGGAATCGAAACAATTTAAAAGGCAACTTCTAAATAATGACAATGGCAGATATTTTCACAATAGGTGTTCTCAGAACACAGTTCCAAGAAATGCCTTATGAATATAGAACCTTAATATGTATGAAAGAAGACACAATCTATCTCAACAGGTTATGGAACCATTTTCATGTCTCGACACTTTCTCATTACATAAAAATATTACCATTTTCCAACAGCTCTCAAAACGAACTCACGATGATTTCACTAATGGATTACTGGTCAACATATCTTTGTGTGTTCGTTTCACCGAAGTGACATCACCTTAAGTCGCTGGCTCCAGCTGTTCCAAACAGGTTGATTCCCAACTCATTCATTAACGTGGGGCTTGTTCTTTGTTTTCTCATAGTAGCTCAACATCAGCTCAAGGCAGATTGCTATTATGGCTGGTTGTTAGGCAATCTTGTAAATGTCTCATTGCACAGACGATGTTATTAATTAAGTCACCTTGGGGATTGGACATTACGTCCTGAGATAGTGTGCTACAAGATTAGCGTGTATCACGGAAACACAACACGCCAATGTGTATGAAAAGAACGAATGGCCTACAGTCTTAAAACAACATTTCATGGTCTGTTGACTGTCGATTACGCAAAGATAAACTAGTGTCATCCCTATGATCTGAAAGTGGACTCTTCTAGTTGAAGTTGTTGCTGGACAAAAATAGTTTTTTTTTAAAGAATTTATTTATTTCTGTTACTTGTCATTTTCTGATCACAATGAAATTATAATCTATTTATCATATATCACATCATACCATCACATCATGTCATTTTCCGATCACAATGAAATGATCAGTTATTTGCAAAACATACACTTGGGTCCTGAGACGAGGGCACACGTAAAATGTTCCCATTCGTGACCAACTCGTGTTATTCCGGGACAAGCCGAATAGCGACTCGTGTCCCTCTGGAAGGATTTCATATTGGCGCATGAACATCGGAACTACTTTGATTCCAATGTTTCTTAATTATCACCGAAGCACATGTACATTGTATTGCTAGGTTGTTGTTTTGGGGGTTTGTTTACTTATTTATTTTAAAGAATTAAACCTCTTTGATTCAACTAAAAGAAGGAGAAAAACATATTTGTTAAAGACATATTCTCATGTAATTATTACCAGCTGTTAACCTTATATTTCCAATTAGGGTTTACTAATCATAACTGGGAATTGCTTTATTGAATATGCCAATAAAAGTTTAAAACTTTCAGCTACATTAAATCCAAAAGCACATACCCAAGAATGACTTTAATATATTTCTCAAACTGAACATTTGTGTAATCTTGCTGCCATACCCCTGGTGGAATTTTAAATGAATTCGCTGAAGAAATATATTAATAACCAAAAAATAGTCAGACTAAAATATCCCCAGAGATGTGAAATCTAAGCCCAATGTTTGAAATTAAAGTTGATTAGTTACATACAAATATAATATTATTGTTTTGAAACTCGTAGCGATTTATAATTACATTTCCTAAAATTGTTGGAAGCGTACGTACAATCTCCATAGCAAGCCCGCCAGATCGTCAGAAATACCCTCAGTTGGACCCATGAGAGCCGTAATGTCAACAAACGCACGTGCGTGTTTTTGAATCTCTCACCGTCAATCGCATGATTCTTATTAAAAACTTCACAATAGGCAGCAAAATCCTGTTAGCTACGTTCTTTGTACTTTCAATAAGGCGGTATATACTTTTCATAATTTTTTAAACAATGACATAATGCCATAAACGATTTAAGTACTCAGGATTATTTTTATCAAAGCACTGCGCTCATTTACGCGCGTTCTGATTGATTTGTCGTATTTTCGCACATAACAAGTATCGAGTGGGGGACGAGTCTTCTTGGAGGTTACGGAAAGGGGCGAGTGGTGACGAATGGTCTTCCTCCTCTCTGAGACAAGATGAACTCTGCCCTCTGCAGGTTAGCCATTGTGACTATCAGTGCTTGACGAACACTCCATTTTATAGGGTTAAGTTGGTTTTAAGCCTATTAGTAGCAGCAAACTGAGTATTTTACAGTGAAAAATTAACTATATCATTGCTTTAACAAATTTAGCTTATGTAATAATCCCTGTCATTTTATTATAACCCAGTTGTAGCTTCTAAGTGGATGCACTAATCATCTCTATTCAACTACATATCCTTAAAGCAACAGTTGAGTGAGTGAGTGAATTAAGTTTTACGCCGCTTTTAGCAATATTCCAGCAATATCACGACGGGGGACACCAGAAATGGGCTTCACACATTGTACCCATGTGGGGACTCGAACCCGGGTCTTCGGCGTGACGAGCGAACGCTTTAGCCACTAGGCTACCCCAACGCCCCAGCAACAGTTGATCAAGATTAGTATGTTCCTGACCAGTGAGTCAGGCTCATTGTAAGAGTATGGGTGCATTTTCTAATACCAATTAGCCTACATTGTTTTTTTGTATGCGGTATGTAGGTAAACTGAGATGTAGGTGAACAGAGACTAAACCATGAAAAGCATGTGCTGCCGACAGGCACAAGGGGCCATCTCAAAGGTATTTATGCTTTTTCATGTGTGTTGAATATGTCTCGTCTATTGATTAACATCTTGCGTGTCTTTCTTTCATAAAGTTTTTGTGAAAGAGTATGATACTCAAAGAAAAGCTTAAATAGGCCATCCTATTAAATGTCTAAAAAAATATAGGTGGCATGACCACCCGAAGATCGACACGACTGGATATTATTTGTAAATTGTTATGACATGCCGTTTACTTCCCCAGTTTACTTCCCCTAAAGGATTATCTTGTCTTAGCTGATACCTCTATCCAGATATCTACCCAGCCCGACCCCAATCACCATCTGCGACAACCCGTCCTGGTTTTGCGTTTGAGACGACCCCTCCGACCTGTTTGTGTTTATAGTAACAGTGAGACTCCATGGTACCTACATCCTTACTAGTTTCAGTATTAAAGTTATTATTGTTTACGTCAGCTATCGTTTATAATGAAGGTAAGCCTAATTTCAAAATGGGCATTTAAAAAGTGTCCTTTGTAATATAATATCATTGCACACTAATTTGCATAAAGCCATGGTATGTTTCAAATAAGTCGCATTGCTCATTTCTGCACTAATCTCTCCTTAGTAAAGTCCTTTTTTACGTTTCCTATCTCCCTCCCACTGAGACTGTATTTATCCCAAACCTAGTTTAACAGATATTTCACACTTTCACATATCAAGTACATAAATTGTAGATATAAATGTGAAAAAACCCCAGTTTTTTTTCTATTTCCGACAGTACTTTACTTCTAGACGTACAAGAAACTTAGTTTTGGCCCCTGCACATTATTATTCAAAACATCACGCGCACTTCGCACTTCTTATTGCCTATAGGGCGGTGGACTAGCCTAGTGGTTAAAGCGTTCGCTCGTCACGACGAAGACCCGGGTTCGATTCTCAACATGGGTACTAGTGTGAAGCCATGTCCCCTACCGCGATATTGCTGGAATATTGCTAAAAGCGGTGTACAACGGTGTTACTCATTACGCATGGAGAGAGAGAGAGAGAGAGAGAGAGAGAGAGAGAGAGAGAGAGAGAGAGAGAGAGAGAGAGAGAGAGAGAGAGAGAGAGAGAGAGAGAGAGAGAGAGAGAGAGAGAGAGGGGGAGAGAGAGTGAGAGAAAGAGAGAGAGAGAGCTGTATGGGCTTCCATTCAAACTCTAGTTTGTTATTCATTACTTCAGCATACACAATTATGTTATTCGTGTTGTGAACAATGTAATCTGTCTATTGAATTTGAATTATTGGTCTTCAGGAAAGCCTTATATTATTGCCTATTAAATCAACAGTTGATGAAGCCAAGCTATCTATACCGACATCCCTGTTGACAGCTTTTGAAATATTATCCCCAGACAAATCTCATCAGACTACAATACATCAAACAATCTAATGTCACACCCAAATTTCAAATATTTGCCCGCACCAAACAACTTTTTTTCTAAATCCAAACCTGTTTTAAACAATTACACCAATGCGTCCCTCTCCCGTTTATTATGAGGTTTAAAATGTCCTACTGATTGGTGTAAAGTCGAGAGTCCATTCGGTCTAACAGGCGCCAACAAACCTGAGACAGTCCGGCGTGATCCACACCGTCACAAGGAAGCAAAGTCTATACCACGTCATTGTGTTTTTTGTTTGATGATTTTACTTCCTGTATGCGATATCATCAGGTTGTTTTTTTATATTTAACGCCTTACTCAGAAAACGTTAAGCTAAATCGAATTTGGACCTGACATTCAAATGATCGATCATCGAAATGAAAAGCAATAAACACATGAAGAATACATTAGTATAATGGAACATAAGTACACTGGACGACCGAGGTTGGCACAGGATGGGAGTGCGGGTATAGTTATCACACACTATATGCGGAAATAATGGTCGGTGGGGGAAAATAGTGGTCAAAGCTTTCGCTCGTTTCGGTAATAATCAGGTCCGCTCCTCCCGTGGGTACAATGTGTGAAGCCCATTTCTGGTGTTCCCCGCCGTGATATTGGTGGAATATTGCTACATCGTTGTAAAACTATACTCACTCACTCTGCAAAGATACAGTAAACAAGAAGACTGACTGACTGACTGACTGAATTTGGTTTTACGCCTCTTTTAGCAATATTCCAGCAACATCACGGCGGGGGACACCAGAATTTGGCTTCACAAATTGTACCCATGTGGGGATTCGAACCCGGGTCTTCGGCGTGACGAGCCAACGCTTTAACCACTAGGCTACCCCACCGCCCCTAAACAAGAAGAAAATGAGTGAGTCAGTGAGTATGGTTTTACGCCGCTTTTAGCAATATTCCAGCAATATCACGGTGGGTACACCAGAAATGGGCTTCACACATTGTACCCATGTGGGGAATCGAACCCGTGACGAGCGAACGCATTAACCACTAGGCTACACCAGCGCTCCTTGAAGATGAAGCGTATATATATGACCATATACCTCTTATTGCTGTACGACGCATTGAAAGGGATACAGACTGCCAATATAAGGTTTTGTTTCAAGCATTACTACCAGGAGACAGAGTGTATATCGCATCCGGATCCCACAATCCACAGATTGACATCATGAGCACCGGATCTGAACATCCGACCCCGTTAGTGGCCACTTATATAACAAGCAACTGCTGAAGATCAAGTCTTACCCGGATCTTCACGGGCTGGCAAGTAGCGTCATCCACACCGTCAGTACTAAGCAACAGTTGCCGTACAAGGAAGCAAAGTCTATACCACGTCATTGTGTTTTTTGTTTGATGATTTTACTTCCTGTATGCGATATCATCAGGTTGTTTATTTATATTTAACGCCTTACTCAGAAAACGTTAACCTAAATCGAATTTGGACCTGACATTCAAATGATCGATCATCGAAATGAAAAACAATAAACACATGAAGAAAAAGTGATTGATCATGAGCTTGTATATACACGAGGAATACGGGCGCATGTATCAACTCAGATACCGGAACTAGCCACCACTTTAACCGGAAGCATGGGTTGCTTAAGATTCATCTTAACCCAGACCTTCACAACGTTCCTATATTGGAAGGTAGTGGTATGGCCTAGTGGTTAACGCGTTCGCTTGCACACAGAAGACCCGGTTTGATTCTTGACATGGTTACAATGCTTGAAGATCATGTCTGTTACCCCGCACCTTGAGGGGGTAAAACATATCCAGAGATTGTAGAGATGCCATAGCATCAGAACACGACCTGGGTTCTGTGGCCCCAGACAGAAAGGGGTCGCAACCCTAAACAGGGAGGCCACCATATTGTGTTTTTCCGTTGAGGACAATGAAATGAGTGAGTGAGTGAGTTTTATGCCGCACTTTAAAAGGGATCCGTGAACCAGACAAACATTTCCTGCGGCATCGCTTAAAGGACTGTTCATTTAATATTCTGATGGTGATGGTTGTCAAAGAAAGTTATTAACAGTTATTATTATGTTTTAAACAATTGAAAACAAAAGAAAGTGTCAGCCACAAAGGTAAGGTATTGTTTAGAAACAAATATTTCGTCCCATACCAAACGCAATTGGCGTTTTGCAGCACTTGTGGAACATTTGGTCTCCAAACATAATTTCAGGCCACTTCACCCACTGAACATTTGTGCAAGTCGGGCCCCTAACAAGGCAGTCGACGCCCTTCCACTGCATACGTATATACTCAGGAACAGTTGTGAAAGTAGGGATAATCAATCCATGGTCCCCCAGTGAGAAACATTTACATCAAAGTGATGTCCACCATCCCTTTATGAACACCCACCCCAGTCCCAACTACCAATATGTTGGTCCCCTATCTCCGAATGTATAAACTCGTGAAGATCCGGGTTAGAATCGGTCTTCAGCAATCCATGTATGTCGTAAGAGGCAACTAACGGGATCGGGTGGTCAGGTTCGCTGACTTGGTTGACACATGTCATCGTATCCTAATTGCGGAGATTGGTGCTCATGTTGTTGATCACTGGATTGTCTTGTCCAGACTCTATCATTTACAGAGCTGGAATATTGCTGAGTGTGGCGTTGAACACCAACGAACCAACCGAATGTATAATATCCAATCATTCGTTTCATTAGTATGAGCGTACAAATGAAAGATTCCCCTTCAATGTTGCCATTAGCTATTTAGAGAGTTGACGTTTTCACATGAAGATATCATCAAGGATGTCTATATCACCGGAAACACATACAGTGGTCATTATGCAACAAACGAACTACACAATCTGGTAACTCCAATACTTATTTTTAGACTAATAAGTTATTCTGTCGGGTCTAACGACGCTGTGAACAGTTTTCAACTTATACCGCAGCGTCAACTTCGTTGGGAGGATAGGCTGACGTGATGCAGATCTCAGAAGTCTCTTAGGTGGAGCCCACGTGCACAGGTACGATCATGACCATCCTAGGAAGACATTCGGGACATACAGGGATTCGAACCCATGATGTTAGGTTCTGGTGTGCTCAAGGGAAGCAACTCTACACAACGGATTGCGGTGGTTTGGAACACAGGGTCCTCAGAGTCATTAATGAAATATACCCAATCAGGCCTACCAAAGAAACTTTCCCACTGTGTAGAAAAACGCAGAAAAGCCCACATTAATCGTGGAAATAGCAACATAAACATATACCTCGCTACTGAAACAGTAAAAACTGCAACGAAAAACTATGAAACTGCAACATTTTCATAGTTTTCATAGTTATCAGCGAACTTTGACCTCTACTGCACATGCGCATTACGATCCGGGCTTCTTTCCCATTTCCAAGCAACCGTGAATCGCCTCGCGTAGAAAAAGTATTAAAAATGTCGAAATAATTGCTGTCAATCGTTTCATACGAATGGAAAGTAAACTAAACAAGTGTGCACATAAGTATCATGATGATATATGCCAAATAACACAACAGAAATACTTAAAAAGGAATGTAACTTTTGTCCAAGCTGGAAAATGTCAACATGCGGTCGAGACTTCCTCTTCCATGTGCGCATGCGCAAAATCGAAGTTGCGGGGTCCTCGTTTTATGATGCAGTGTTAGCGATTTAAAGTTGCCGTTTTAATTGTTTCAGTAGCGAGGTATTATGTTTAAGTTGCTATTTCCACGATTAATGTGGGCTTTTCTGCGTTTTTCTGCACAGTGGGAAAGTTTTCTTTGGTAGGCCTGCCAATGTCGTCGGAATATTCAATTTTTTATTGGTTGAAAGAAGCACCAGGATATTCCTTGAACGATGAAAAAGTTGATTACGATATGTCAGAGCGGCACATAGATCATTGTAACCTCGTGGAGCACTAATTCTCTTTATACATCTGAACATTCTTTACAAAATTCTCTTTATATATATATATATCAGAATTTTCATTAGATAATTCTCTTTATATATCTGAATTGT